GTTGTTCAAGCACAGTTTTCTGCCTTTTCCACCCACCCCTCCCCACCACTCCAGCCCTCCCCTCCTCCCTTCCCTGTTCCCACCCCACCTTGTTATTGTCCATGTGTCCTTTATAATTGTTCCTGCAAACCCTTCACCCTTTTCTCTCATTATCCCCTCCCCTCTCCCCTCTGGTCACTGTCAGCCTGTTCTCAATTTCAATGTCTTTGGCTATACTTTGTTTGCTTGTTCATTTTGTTGATTAGGTTCCTGTTAAAGGTGAGACCATATAGTATTTGTCTTCTGCCGCTTGACTTATTTCACTTAGCATAATGCTCTCCAGTTCCATCCATGCTGTCTGACAAACATTATTAAAAATATTAATAACTCCATTCTCCCTGACCTTTTTTAGATGCCCTGATAAAAATACTTCAACCAATAAATCTACAAGTGACAACCATACTTAATGGTGAAAGATGGAATGATTTCCCCCTATAACAGAAGCAAAGCAAGAATGTTTGCTCTTACCAGAATTATTCAACATCACACTAGAAATCCTAGTCAATGCAATAAGGCAAAAATAAAAAATAAAAGGCATACAAACTGAAAAGAAATAAATAAAATGATTTCTATTCCAAGACAAGTGTGACTCTAGAAAATTCTGAGGATGTTACCAAACTCCTAGAACCGAAAAGTGAATTTAGGAAGGACACAGGATACAAAGTCAACACAAAAAATCCCCAATGTACTAAAAAGCAAACAAACAAAGAAGAAGCATTATACTTCTATGTTTTATATACTAGCAATGAACAATTGGAAACCAACGTTGTAAAAACAGCATTTAAAGTAACTCCAAAATATGAACTGCGTAGGTGCAAATCTAACAAAATATGTACACTATCCATAAGTTGAAAACAACAAAAAAATGATATAAAAATAAACAGACAGAGAGACATAAAGTATTGATGGGTTAGAAGTCTCAGCATAGTAAAGATATCCATAGTCCCCAAATCAATATACAGATTCAATACAATTCCAGTAAAAGTCCTAGAAACTTTTGGAGATATAGGCAAGCTGGTTCTAAAGTTTATATGGAAAGATAAAAATAACTTGAACAGCCAAGATAATTTTTAAAATAAAGAATAAAATTGAAAAAACACAACTAAATTTTAAGATTTACTTCAAAAGTACAAGCCCTGGCTGGTGTAGCTCAGTGGATTGAGCACGGGCCTGCAAACCAGACAATCGTGGTTTGATTCCCAGTCAGGGCACATACTGGGGTTGCAGGCAGGTTCCCTGCAGGCCAGTTCCCAGCAGGGGATGCATGAAAGGCAACCATACATTGATGTTTCTCTCCCTCTCTCCTTCCCTTCCCCTCTAAAGATAAATAAATAAATAAATCTTAAAAAAAAAACGTACAATAATCAGAAGAGCATGGTATCAAAAAAGGCACAAATATATAGGTCAACAGAACAGAATACAGTCCAGAAGGTAATATATATCCAAATATATCCATATTTATATCTTTCCATATCTATCTGTTGCCAATTAATTTTTGATAAGAACATAAAGGCAATTCAATGGAAAGAATCTTTTCAACAAATGATGCTGGAACCACTACACATGTATATGCAAATTATATATAATAATAATAAACCACAACTAATCTCAACCTAAACCTCACATCTTATATATAATTTAACTCAAAACAAATCATAGATTTAAGTGCAAAATGTAAAACTATGAAACTTCTAGAAGAAAATAAAGGCGGAAATCTAATGACCTGGGATTAAACAAAAAGTTCTTGAATGTAACACCAAAACATAGCTCTAAAAAGAAAACAGTAATTTTAGCTTTGACAAAAGTTGAGACTTTTGCTCTACAAAAGATACTGGTAAGACAATGAAAAGATAAGATATATTCTGTACGGAACATGTTCACAAGGCACATACTTAACAAAGACTTGGACCCAGAATACAGCATGGGGCAAAAGTAGATTTACAGTATGGAAAGTAATACAAAAATTAATAAATAATAATATAAGAATAAACTCTGTTTCATCTATTTAAAACTGTAAATCTACTTTGGCTCAGCCCTGTATGTGATGAATTTTCGAAACTCAATGGGAAGTAAACAAACAGTCCCCCAACTGGCAAAAGATTTGAACAGTGGTTTCATCAAAGAGTATAAAACAGAAGACAAATAATCACATGAAAAGATATTCATATTAGAAAGATCAAACGATTAAAATTTCTAAGTGATGGAAATGCCAAGTGTTAGCAGGGATGCGGAGCTACTGGGATTCTCATAAATTGCGGGTGGCAATGCAAACCGGGACAGCCACTCTGGAAAACAATCCGTTTCTTATGAAGTTAAACACACACTTACCTAGGACTCAGGAATCCCATTTCTAGGTGTATAACCTAGAAAAATGAAAGCTTATGTTTGTACAAAACCTTTTTTAAAAATTTATTTTAGAGAAGGAGAGGTGAGGGAAAGAGAGATTGAGAGAGAGAGCAGGAGAAAGTGAAACATAAATTCATTGTTCCACTCAGTTATGCATTCATTGGTTGACTATTATGTGTCCTGATTTAGGAATCAAACCCGCAATTCTGGCGTATCAGGACAGCATTCTAACTAACTGAACTACCTGGCCAGGGTCTTTTCATCCATGCTTATGGCAGGTCTATTAATAATGTCCCAACGCTGGAAATAACCCAGATCCAGAAGTCCTTCAGTGAGTCAATGGGTAAAAACATGGAAACAGCCATACGATGAAATGATAGCCAACAGTAAAAAGAAAAACAATGACTGATATATGCAACAACTTTGATAAACCCCAAATATGTCATGGTCCATTAAAGAAGCCAGTTGGAAAGAATTATGTATTCGATGCATGCTGAAGTCCTGAATTTCAAAGTGACATTAGTATGGTTTAGAATCAATTGCTGAAAACAGAAGATAGTAGGGTGAGAATGGGCAAAGCTAAGTTACCCAGTTTACCATTGCCATAATATACACAGACAATACTCAATGCTGTGCTGAGATTTTTCTTCATGTCCCTTGCCTATTTGGTAGTGTTTTGTTATCTGATTTTAAAAATTATATTCAAATCTAATGAATTTTTACTACATAAATATTTCATCAGTTACATATTATGAATATAAATTTGTATTACTTAACATCGCATATAAACTACTTTAGATCAATATGTTAATTTTAATGTGGCCACACCCAGGATCCTGCCTGATATGCCCTATTAAAACATACATGACAATTTACTTCACTATAGTATATGCACTGGAAATAAGAAACAAATTTATATATGACTGAAACCTAAACACAATCAAAACTTAAATAAACAGTGATAGAAATATGGCGACTGTCACATGTACTTCTGTTGTTGATACGCCCAACACTCTGAACTCTATAAAGAGCCCCTGGAAATAATGATCGCTGAGGGCCAGTGCTTGAACTCCAGTTTACTGAACAGGCCTTCTGTAGATCACAGAATATACCCCAGCAGTAACTTCCAAATGGAAATTAAATGTTACCTTATCATCGTTTCTGGGGTCACTCAATTTTCAGGTCCATGAAGGTAGTGTTCTGTCACGCTTACCTCTAGATGCCAAGCACAAAACAGTCTCTGATGCACAGCAAGTGCAAAATAAGTTATTCTGAAAAAAAATATTTGATGGCTAAATGTGTATTTGTAAGTGGAGGGTTGAAACTAAGCTCCTATCACTTTGGCATAGCGCTAGATGTTAGACATTGCACAGTTCAATTTAGACCTGTATTCTTTGATTCATTTAGTCTACCGACCAACCAACAATTGTGTTTGGTTTCAGAATACTTCGTGTTAAGATCTGTGATCAGGGCCAGGAAGACAAAGATTCAGAAGATGTGGTCAATGATCTCAAGCAACCTAGGTCTAGTGTGGGATACATGGGGATATAGAGCTCACGTAATTGCTACCAATTTACTAAACCTCAAGAACGATAAGCACACCAGTAGGGAACTCCACTGAAGATACAGAAAGGAGCAAGGAAGAATTCTTTGGAAAGGCAACCATTCAGCCAGGCCCTGAGAAATACAAAAGGCCTTGACAGATGAAAGGCGGCAGATGATCTATTGTTAAGAGTGTGAACTCTGAAGTCAGACTGCCTGAGCTTGCATCCCAGTTTTGCACTCATTAGCTGTGTGACCTGAGGCAGGTTACTTAACCTTGCTGTGCATCAGGTTCCTCATGTATCACATGGAGAAAGTAATACCACATGCAATATAGGGTTGCTTGGGGGGTACATCAGTCCGTGTACTGGAGCACTGGTACAGGACCTAAAGCATAACAAAAGCTAGATAAATATATGCAAAATGGGGAGAAGACAGGAGAGCAAGACAGAGGCAATGACATCAAGTCCCCAAGGGAGTACTAAAGAAACATATTTTCTTTTTGTCTGCTTTCACCAGAAAGAAAATGAAAGCATAGAGTGTGTTAAGTACGAATTACTGTGTATAAAAGGCATTTTGCTAACTCAATGGCAGTTTGGGGGCAATGCTCCTTTATTTCAACTAGGCAACCTCAGCCCATAAAAATGCACAGGTACAACTGCATACACTCAAAACCCCATACATAACGTTAGGGGGTTTGTCCATGAGTCAAGGTCAGCAGGCACTTCTTCAACATCCTCCTGGGGCCACAGATAATTAGACTATAGAAATGGTCTAATAATATTACCAACTTTCCTTAAAAACCAGTGCTTAGTATGGAATTTTGTAAACCCTATGCAATTATGGGCCCTAAAGGATCCAATCAAAAAAATTGAACTGTGAACTCATAGAGCAAGGAGACAAACAGAACACAGGGAACTTCACAGCTCCACCTCCAAGCAAAGAAAGGGTAATAAAGGCAGTTCTTTGTCTGAGAAGCAGACCTGTGAAGGAAAAAAACGCAGGTCACTTAACCCTGGGGAGGAGCCGAGGGTGAGAGACGAAACGTAAAAACTGACCAGCTTGGTACTCACATGGTGAAGGAGCCAGGGGGGGCAGACACTCTCCGCAGGTCCGCAGCTTGCACCTGATGGAGACTAGAGGCAGCAGGGAATGAGCAGCGAAGACAGTCAGCACAACAGCGTGGACAGACAGGGAACAAGCCAGGAGAGAGAAAGAGAGACACACAAAGTTTAAACAGAAATTAAACGAGCGCATCACCAAACAGTGAATGAAAAGGAAAATCAAGCCAGCCACGGAAATAACCCAAAAAGCCAGTGACAGCGAGGAAGCCAGCAGGACACATGGCAGAGGCTGCCTCTAAGGCAAACCAGACTGGAGCACAGGGCAGGGGGCACAGGGCACAGGGCACAGGGCAGATGCAAACAGGGTGCTGAAGCTGGGCAGGGCAGGAGGGGCTGTCACATTCCTCTACGGCTTTAGGTCATTCGAGATGTCCTGGGAGGGAGCACAGCACACACACACCCACACATACACATGAGGGGTAGGCTGGCACAGTGAACTCATCTCTAAGGAGAGTCAAGGTATGTTTCATTCCCTAACATGTGCTCATGATTCCAGAGCTTTGTAGGAATGTTGATGTCAAAAGACCACCATCTTGAAAAGATGGACTCAACGAAATCTTTAACTTCCTTTCCTTAAGCACCACAGGCGGTTTAAGAACTTCACGCTGTAATTCTACTCATTCTTAACAGAGGAGTGAAACCATAGATGGTGCCTCCCTTTTATCCATTCTCAGATAAAGGAGAGAGTCTACAGTGGTTATTAGGGGGGAAAAAACAAATGTTGAATTTGATAAACCCCAAATTTCCTGTCACTTTTACCTAATTACGCTCTTAGATTATTTGAACAGTTTCACTGTATTTGCAATAGACAGAGCTGTCCAAACCCATCTTTTCTACTGGGCACATAAATTTCCATGTAAAGTCACCTAAGTAATTCTCTGTTAATCCCAAAGGACTACCAGTTATGACTGATAATATTTCTCAGCAGCCGAGTTGATGGACGCTGGTGCCCAATTCAAAGCTTCCAGCTAGAAATCGTGCCCTTGGACAATGCAATTACCCTTCACCATGTAGTTTTTGTTCCTCATGACTCAGGAGAACAGGTCCCTGAAGACCTCCCTCAACACCGAGTGATGGTAAATTTTTTATCATATTCACAAATGCTTTTCCAACAGACAACACTAGTTTATCTGGCTACCACATTCCTAATGCACGAATATGAGCCTAGATAAATCTCCTCAACTACTTTTTTGTGGGAAGATATTTGCTAGAGTTCGTATTTCGAGTAGATGTACAAGCCACGATAAAATGAGATATGCTGCTATATCAGTTGAGGGTGGGCTACTGAACATTAATGGGACCTGGCCTTTCAGTGTATGTACAGTAATAACAAATGGAAATCATAAACCAAGAAGTTGTTTAAATTGTTTTCTTTCCTTTTTGCATGAATGAAGCTCTAGAGCATCATGCGGGCCTACTATGTAACTGTTTCTCATGGGACTTCCTCCAGCTACCCAGGTCAACCAGATCTTGAAATTCTTCCAGTTATTATCAAACATATGATTAAGACACTTCCTATATTGTTTTTATATTCACGAGATTTTAGATTTGTTACTATAGAAATAATTTCGGAGACACACAATAGATCTGATCCACGTGTAAGCCACTTGTGCAGCACGGGACCATGAGTCTCGGGCACACTGACAGGCACTGGAACCCTACAAGGAAAACCCCAGGGTGTCCCCACAGAGCAGGGAAGAGACAAGTAAACAAGTGCATTTAATGCCTGGAGGTAGACAGAAAAGGATTCTTAGGAAAGTGATATTTTAATGCAGTCTTGAACTGGAGGGAGAGTTAGCAGATGAGAGGAGGTGAGGAAGGCACCAGAAATGGAAAGCCATGATGAGGCACAAGACAGGCTGGCACTCCAGGAACAGCAATTGTTCCTGGGGCACGGGAGGAGGAGGAGGAGGAGGAGGATGAAGAAGGCAATAGTCACAAAGGTCTGTGAAGCTGAGGATGTAGGCACTACATGTTCAGAAAGGTCATTCTAACTAGTCTATTGGAAAAGATATTGTGTGAAGGGCAGCAACCCTGGAAAGAAGAAAATGAATTATGAGCATGCTTCACCAGTGCCTCTGAGAGGTAACTGGCAGGGAGGATGGGTAGATGGTGTGAGATTAAAGGTGTGGGGATTCGATGGAAGGTAGATTTCAAAGAAGGCACTGGATGTATAAAAGCAGAGGTGATGGAAGGGACTCCAGAGACCAAGGATGTAGTGAATGAATGGACTGAGGTTCCATTCATTCCCATGTGAATGAAAAAGGCTCATTGGGTGATGAGGAGAGAGAGCAAAAGGAAGAGAGTTCATGAGTCCCTGAGTAGTCGTCCATGCAGTCAGAGGGTATTATGAGACATCCAGGTAAAGATGTCAGCTAAGATATTTGAAGATGAATCTTCAGTTTTGAGAAGAAACCCATGCTGAAGACAGAGATCTCATTAGCTTATCAGTCAGAGATAAAATGGGGTGCTGATGTGATCTCCCAGAGAAAGGGCCAATCCCCGAGCACCAGCATTCTAGCAGAAGAGGAAGCCACACCACTTAAACCTGAAATATTCATGGCTAACTTCCTGTGTGAATGGAAGATAACTCCTTAAAATGCATTGAACAGCTACCCTTTTCTCCTTGAGAAACTTCCCCATCCACAATGCACAGAGGATTTTTTTTATAAGTTCTTTTTTTAAAAAATATATTTTTAAAGATTTTATTTATTTATCTTTAGAGGGAAAGGGAAGGAGAGAGGGAGAGAAACATCAATGTATGGTTGCCTTTCATGCATCCCCTGCTGGGAACTGGCCTGCAGGGAACCTGCCTGCAACCCCAGTATGTGCCCTGACTGGGAATCGAACCTCGATTGTCTGGTTCTCAGGCCCGTGCTCAATCCACTGAGCTACACCAGCCAGGGCTTCCACAGAGGATTTTTAACTAAAGTTCTTAAGACAGTTTCAACCAGTTCTCTTCCTGAAAGAAGGCAGGCAGGTGAAACAGAAGAAACATAGAGCCTTAGTTAAAAAATACGAAAGGGAGAAAGGAAGACAGAAAGAGAGAAAAGGGAGAGAAGGATGAAAAAATGAAGGAAGGAAATAAAGAATTATGTTTGAATGATCTCTTTCTGACTTGGCTGCCATAGTGAACTTTATATAACCATGACCAAAAAGAGAAAATCTTGGCACACTCAGAAGGTGCAAGAAACTTGTTTAAAAAGGTCTTCATGGCCAGCCTGCTCTTGAACTAAAAACTCCACTTAGAAATCCAGTGTAAGAAGTCTGATTTCAAAACAAGAATTTCTAGCAAAATAGAAAAGAGCAATCTAATCTCAGAGGGTCAATAAGATCAGTGGGTAAGAGATATTGAGGTGTGGTGAGCAAATATTCTATGGTACCTAGGTGTTTTGCTATCCTTTGAAAATGTGCTACCTATATCAATTTTCTAAAAATATAGTATTGAATAATTGTTCTCATAAGTAGCCCTATCTAATGTTATTTCTCAACATATGTTGTCTCAGAAAGAGAGGTAGTCAAGTCCGGCAGTGAGCCATGGCACCTGCATCATTGGTTCACCCTACATACTCCTGTAGGTTGTTGTACTGACTCAATAAATATATGACAAAGCATGTCCTTGCTTCACAGGCAGTAGAGGAAGCCAGCCATTCAGTACAAATAGGTAACCATGCATCACAGGCCACAAACAGGAGGAGCACCTTGAGGGGCCCTCACGGTGACAGAAGAATGACCCAAAGGTGACCCCCGAAATGGCCTTACCTTGAGTCGGGTTAGGTATATGGGCATGATATATACTTAAAAAAAATGACCCAAGTCTCCATCTTTTTCCATCTCCTTTGCCAATGCCAAACAGGCATTTCAATAAAAATTATATTAAGAGATATTAAAAATAAAAATCTAGTTATTATCACCTTATTCTCAAATCCATTTATCCAAACCCTAAGAAAGGAAAGGGGGCAGGGGATGTGGATACACTTTGTTTAAGCATTGCATTGTGGGACAGATTAAATCTGGACAACAGCATGCCACCCAGACCAGCAAACTGAGCTGAAGCATTAGAGTACATGGGCCCCAAAATGGGAACATCAGGAAAAGGGCAATTCACCAACAGGCAGCAGGGGATGCCACATGGAGATAGGCGAGCCAAAATCCAGCTCTGCCAACCTCCTGCTGTTGGAGAAGCCAACACCCTCCAAGTGACCTGGGTAAAGAGGAGGCAGACAGCCTGGCTTCTTAAAACAAAATAAAAACAGAACCCATTTACCTGGATGCATTTTATGGCCCTGAATCACTCTTAATAATTTCCCACTGGTCCCAGTAAATGTATACGCAAGTGGTCAGTGAAGAAGCATCATCACTCTAACATATATCACGGTAATGGTTTCTAAAGGAAGAATGTGGTCAGTGCTTAATAAACATGAAGAAAAACTGTGAGAGAGACTCAGGAACTGCTGAGTGCCCTGGACTGTTGCTCCTTTCTCAACACAGTGAGGCCCCACCCATGCACATGCTCTGCGTTCTCCTCTCCATGGTCCTCATGGTCACGAAGGTGGGCACGGGGCTGACTCACTCATTGAGTAAAGGCATGGACGTCCTCCTCTTGCTCTTCTGCACCATGTTGGCCTGATTCCTCAAGGAGATCCGGATCATAGCCGGCGCCAGCCTGCAGGGCTCTCCATCCACTTGCATGGGGATGGATTTGTAAGTCAGCAGCATGACCTCACGACACTGGTGCAGCCTTTCCCCGTGGCCCCCGACTTGCAGGGCAGCCTGTAAAAATAAGAGTCAAAAGGAAGCAGGGAGTTAGTTCTTAAGAGTTATTCTGGAAAGCCAAAACCCCAAGTCCACTATAAAGAAGCAAAAGATCTTTGATAGACATATGGAAAGTTGTTACCCATGAGTAAAACAGGAATCCTTGGATAAATCATTAACACAAATAAAGTAAAAATTATAAGCTTTTGATGAGCTTGACCACAGCTTCTCATTGATAGCCACTTTTCACCTTTATGTGTTGTTCAGCCTTAATTCAATCATGTGAGGTTAATACAAAAGTTGTTTTTTCATTATCTGTTCCTGTTAAATAAGCAATGTAAGTAGAACAAAAAGAGTATAAAGAGTTAAAGCATGTAGTTTAAAATAGCTTTTAGTTTACAGTTGATCCTTCAACAACATGAACTTGAATTGTGTGAGTTCACTTACATGTTACATTTTTTAAATGAATATACTGAAAAAAGTTTTTAAATATTTTCTTACTACCTTGAGGCAATTGTAACAGTTATACTAGGCTACCATAAAACGATCAAATTGCTGCTTATTTGTTATCAATGCATGAATCATTACACAAATTTATTTTTCACTTTATACTTCTATTTTTGATGTGTAGTGTTAGTAATACATACAACATCTATAGTGTTTTGTATCATATAAGACAATATATCAATGTAGGTAGATGTAAACCTACTGACTGAAGGTATAAACTTACAGTTCAATAAATACATATAATTCGGTGAATGTCTTTTCCTTATGATTTTATTAATATTATTTTCTTTTCCAGAGCTTACTTTATTTTAAGAATATATTATATAATACATATGAGGTCTGTCTAGAAAGTACCTGGTCATGTACTATGAAAAATAGAGACATTTATTGAAGAAGATACAAGAAACATGGTACATAGAATAATGACACCTCAGTCCCCTTCAAAGTAGGCACCTTGGGACCTCACACAGTTCTCCCAATTCATCAGCTGCCCCATCATATTTTCCTGAATCTCATCAGCAGTCTGAAATCTCTTCCCTTTCTAAAGTGATTTTAGTTTTGGGAAAAGCCAGAAGTTGCAGGGTGCCAAAGCTGGGCTGTAGGGGGCTGAGTCACCTGGATGATTTGATGTTTTGCCAAAAACTCTGCACGAGCGGTGATGCATGAGTGGGGTGCATGGTCGCGATGAAGCTGCCAGTCACCAGTTGCCCACAGCTGCAGCCTCCTAAATCATCTGAATAGTTTCCATGGAGGAATGTTCAAGCTTAATGTAAAATGTGATGCAGATTCATTGCTCTACCTGCTCACTCATTTTGAATGTGACAGCCACACAGTATACATGCTCACTCAGTGGTGTCTACTGCCCCCACTGATTAGTCCAGTGAAGTCATCATTGTTCACACATGCACATTCCAGTCTTCTCTCCTTGGCTGCCAGGTTATATTGATGTCGTGCAAACTGTTCTCATTAGATCAACAATGGCTGGACTTTTTCCGGACAGATTTCATGTAACATACAAAGTATGTGTTCATTGACTGTTAATGTTATAGGTAAATCTTCCAATCAATAGTAGGCAGTTAATAGTTAAGTTTGGGGGGAGTCAACAGTTATACATGTGGGGATTGGTGCCCCTAACCCCTGTGTTGTTCAGCGATCAATCTAAATATGTATTCTAATAAATATATAATCTGGTAGATATTAAATGTATTCATATTTATATATGTAGCCCATGTTTGGTTAATTTCCAAACTCCAGCAGGCTTTCCCTTTTTAACTAAAACCTCTTCCCAAGTTATTTCTAATCTGAAATACAAAACGATAGGAGCTCAATTAAAAACATCCTGAAAAATAAAGCAATCTTGAGGATCAAACTCAAACACAGTAAGAGCTCAGTGCTGGTATGTATCTCTCGGTGGACACATATGCTCTCGAGTACACACAATGAGTAGACCTGCTATGCCATGAGTTTAGATGTATACTTAAGTAGATGTTGCTAAATAGCTTTCTAATAAGGTTATATCACAATGAATTTTGAATATCAATTAATTTATAATTATGTAAGCTTTAAAAAGGAGTCAAATACTAACTCTATCCCCAAATTTAAAACAATGTACTTAAAAAATAAAAACATACATACTATCAACATTTCTCAATGTGGTTCTTCTGTATGAATAAGGCAGAAACCTGGTTAACAGATTTGTGAAGTCAACTTCCATCTATTTGGTTGCCAAATATTTGTATTTGAATTATTTCTGCACTTGCATTAATTTGAACAGTAGGAACCTGATTACAAATCCAAAGAGAGAAGGAATACAGAAGGACTGAATGGGGGAAAGAAAATAGAACAAAAACTCAAAAGTAAAGAACTATGGAATGCCTCCAATGTTAAAGCATGCAATTACGCTCTCTACATACACGTTTCTTTCAGTCATTGGGGGAATAAGAAAACAAAGGAGAATGCAGTGAGAATTTACTGAAATCCCTTTTGGCCTATTACCTGACCTTCTGTTATTCAGCTGAAGGTTTTCCCCGGCTGTACTTAAACAATTCATTGATGTTCATGTATGGGTTTTTTGCCACTGCCTCATCTCCAGACCTTTCCCATTGTATTTTCCTTGTCTCCTACTTCCCAGCCCAGTATTTATCTGACAAAAACTGTACCTCTCCATCCACGAAAGGAAGTCCCATTTGCTTCTTTTTATTCCAGTCTAGACTAGGCCTAATGACAAAGGAAGATGCAGAATGTACTAGGTAAGAACTTATTCCTCTTGAGTTTAAAAGGACTGAAATTGCCCCAATACTTCCCAACTTCTTGGAATCAGAAGGTACGCATAGTACTGTAGAGCATGTCTAAGTCATATTTGCAGCCTCACAGAAGAACAACAGCCAATACCACAACCATAAGAGGGAAACAGCTGTCAAGGACAGTCCCATTGGCATTTCAGAATCAATCTAAGATCACTGCACAGGCACAGGCGGAATTACGTGAGTTAGCTGTTCAAGATAGACAGTTCTAGTATTCTTATCACAGCCGTGTTTTGGGAACAAGTTCAAAGTGAATTTTTTTAAATGTTTTTAAAGATTTTATTTATTTTGGACAGAGAGAAAGGGAAGGAGAAAGAGAGGGAGAAAAACATTAATGTGTGGTTGCTTCTCACATGCCCCCTAATGGGAACCTGGACCACAACCCGGGCATGTACTCTGACTGGGAATCAATTTCCTGACTGGGAATTGAACCAGTGACCCTTTGGTTTGTAGGCTGGCACTCAATCCACTGAGTCACAGCAGCCAGGGATAAAAGTAAATTTTTAAATATTTATAAGAAATAGTTATTTTTCATCACTCAGATTGGTCTAGGCATAACATCCCACAATTTGCTGGGATGAATCATTCACTGATAATAATACATTGCTTTATTAGTAACAGCCATTCAATTATCTGTTCAACCTTGCATGTGTTCTCTTTATGAAACCTTCTAATATTGCCTTCCTGGGAGCACATGACCAGAGACTAAAACAAAGCCAGCCCCTGAGCTCACCACATCCTTTACTTTTTGCTCTCAGACCCTGATTTCCCTTCACCCTTCAGGGATGCTCAAGATTTTCTGTCTTTCCACACTATTCTCCTTCCTGGCACACTCTTCTCCATCTCCCTTCAAGCTGTATCCTCCTCACCACTCGAGTCCTCATTCTGCCAGATTACAAGGGTGGACAGCCCTGGGATGGGGGAGGAGAAGGGAAGCAAGGGTGAGTCCCCCTCTCCTTCCTTTTTCACCTCTGTCAACAGCCTCCAACTCCAGCCTCACTCCTGTAACAAAATGCCCAAGGCAGGAATCCGGGACCCGGAGAACAAGCAATGGAGATAGTCACCAATACTAAAACCTTGGTTGGTTTTGGTTTGTTTTTTTCTATGACTAGAATTGCAGTCTTATAAGACTAAGCAATAAAAAAAAAATAGAAAACAGGACTATTTCTTATTAAAGCATAAAATGAACAAAAGAAGATAGCTAAAGATATAATAAAGTTTAACAGGACTGAAAATAAATCATAAATCATTGTAATCTCATCACACTGCAGTTTAAATGAGAAAAAGCACATCATTATCTGAAAAATGCAGGAAGAAATAATAAAGTTCCGTGTCTTATAGGATAGAAAGTTGTTGGGAAGCTAGAAATATAAAGTGATTTTTTTAAATGATAAAAGTCATCTACCAAACACACAGAGAAAACATTATTCAGAGTAAAGAAAATTTAGAAGCATTCCTTCAAGGGAGAAAGTTAATCACCAGCAACAAAAGTTTTCACATAATATTGGAGGTAATAATATTGTCTTGAACGATATAGTAGGTAAAGGAAATAAACTTGTATGGATTTAATATGGTTTCCTGTATGTTTAAAAACATAGAAATAATTTTTGTGCATTGACCCTTTAAGTGGCTCTTTGCCATCATAAATCAACAAACAAGTGTTGGAGACGTTGTAGAGAAAAGGGCTCCCTAATGCACTGTTGGTGGGAATGCAGACTGGTACAGTCACCGTGGAAAACAGTATGGAATTTCCTCAAAAACTAAAAATGAAACTGCCTTTTGACCCAGCAATTCCACTCCTGGGATTATACTCTAAGAGTCCTAAAACACCAATTCAAAAGAACCTATGCACCCCAATGTTCATAGCAGCATTATTTACAATAGCCAAGTGTTGGAAACAGCCTAAGTGCCCATCAGTAAATGAGTGGATCAAAAAACTGTATATTTACACAATGGAATAATATGCAGCAGAAAGAAAGAAGGAGCTCCTACCCTTCAGGACAGCATGGATGGAACTGGAAAGCATTATACCAAGTGAAATAAGCCAGGCAGTGAAAGACAGATAAATAACATATGATCTCATCTATTATTGGAACTTCATTTACAAAACAAACAAGCAAGCAAAATATAACTAGAGACATGGAAATAAAGAACAAACTGACAGTGACCAGAGGGGAGGAGAGAGGGAGATAGTGAGGGAAAGAAGGG